GCCGCCTGACCGGGACCTACAGGAGCTATTCCACTGGTTGGACTGGATTGCGAATGACACTAACGAGCTCCAGGCTGGCGTCTGCGCGGTAGGGATCATAAATAGAGATTTTACGACGGTTTCTGGTTTTCCGGCTAAGAAATGCAATTATTATTATTATTATTACGGCACAAGAGCAGACAACCCCGAAGGGACTTCAAGTCTGGTCGAACAAAACAATTTTCTGTTAACAAAACATTTAGGAGAGATTAACAGATCTGAGTAGAAATTTAAAAGAAGGTACAGAACTAGCTTCGAGAATGTTAGTATTAACAGCAAGAATTTTATCAAGAAGACGCTTTAGTCGCATTTCCATAGTAATGCTCCTTCAGATTTTGCCGAATATATAAGTATCGTTACCACGTACCGCTAAAAAGTAGAAATGCGTGAGAAACTCGTGTTTGCGGTGATACCAAAACATTATTCTATTGATCCTAAATTTTATTTGCTGTTATTTTGCTTGGTAAAGTACTAACTCATGGCTATTTTTAGTTGTTGTGCGCGCTGCAGTCGTCGGATCTGCGTCCGTCGGCGCATTATCGGGGAAAGAAGTGGTGCACTGAAGGTCTGCGAGGTGTCCATGTGGAGAAGCTGTCGCCAATTACCCGGCATTTTCTGGCTGACCTGCAATAACCAGACCAGAAAAAACTTTTAGCTTTAAAAAAAATTTTGAGCTTTTAGCTGTCGTCTAGTTTGTGCTCTGTTTTGAGCGTTTCATTCTAGAAGTATCACCGCAATTATTTCGCTTTCCGTTTCTTTCTTCACTGTATCTAGTTTGCTACAATGGCGACTATTTTGATGTGAGGTTTGCTTGAAGACTCAGGCGCCGGCAGATTGTGTTTCGTCGTTGTACACAAAGTAGAAACCTTCCTTGATTGACAGGAATTGTGCTGCCTTGAAAACAGTCGTGGTTCTGATTGTTAGTAGAAGGGGAGTACTGCAAATATTTCTTTATCAGGGACAAGTTTTTGGATTCCTGCATTCACCGAGGACCTAGTTATTGCCGGCCGGAAACGCAGTAAACCATGTGTTAAGGGAATTCAGCCGTTAAATTGTAAAAGAGTTTTTTCTAAACGTCTTTTGAAAGTAGACGCAAACAAGTGCGTGCTTTAGCCGGGTTTCGGGAATCCGGCTATCGCTCCTTAAAATATGCAGTATGTAATTTGATCGTAAATAAAGAAACCAGTTACTGCTGGAATGTCGGTTGCGCTGGCGGCGGGCTAAGCGGAGGATTGCGCTAACTGGCTGCCTCCTGTCCATTTTATCCAGTATACCCATTTGAATTGACAGTACCGACTGTGCACAACCGATACCTGTTGATATCCTTCTTTTGTTTGGCATAACAAAACCGTAAAAGCACTGCTGCTGGTTCGTCGTGGCATTCTTCTTTACCTGCTCAACGATTACACGTATCTGTACTGGCGATCTTTATTAATTTTACGTTGAATTCCGCTGCTCCTTCAAAATTTCATTCCTGATTAGATTATCCGCTTCGTACTCACATCGTCAACCATGCCGAGGGACCCGAACCATCCGAACAACGTCGACGTCCTGGGCGACGACGGGATGATGCGGTACGGACGCGTGGTGGATGTGGCGGACAACGGGCTCTTCGTCGACTTCCGCTGTCCCAACCGACGCCGCGAACACGTTCCGTTCAACAGACTCTTCTGGCCTGGCAAGACGAGAATTGCCGAATTACATAGTCCTTACGTTAAAGTAGTCTTGCCCCTTGAAGTGGAAGTACTGATGCCGGAGACGCCGTTGGGGCCGTGGACTTGGTTCCCGGGTGTGATGACCATTTTCGGACGCGGTATTCCGTTCTGGCAGCACGGAGGAGCATTGGCCAACTGGCAGTGCCTCGGCGGCGTCCAGTGCACCGATATCGTCCCCCTCGACCGCGTCCGCTTACCCGATCGGACTGAGTGGATTCTCCCCTGCCGGGATGGTCGAGGAGCGGGACGGGTTGTGGATGACCAGGACTATCGTATCGAACGGGGGAGTTTCGTCAAGCTCACTGTACCGCTCGGCGAAAAATTTTGCTCGATTTTCACTGAAGAAGCAGAGGCGCTCATCCAACGGCTGAATGGCAACGAATTAGATTTCTATCGGTGTGCGGTCTCCGTGGTAGATGTGATGGACGGCTGTTTGGAGTTTATTTATCAGCGAGGGTTTCCGCAGCAAGAAAGTCGATGGTGGGCCATGGAGCTGCTGGTAAGAAGGACGGTTTCTGCCTCTAAACCAGTTTTGATATGTCTATTCTACGGTTTTTATTTCCTAGGGTGCTGTCGACATCTTCCATAAGAATCCACTCAACCAGTCTAAGTTTTCAATCGAAACCCCGTCGGTCCAAGAGAAGATGGTCCTTCCGTTGGAGTTGTGGCTGGAAGTCTTCTCGCATTTGGACACGGTGACACAGATGAAGATGCGCAAGGTCTGCGCAGCGTGGAACCAGATAACGGAGACGCCGGCGTTGAGTCGCTGTATTCTGATCGGAGAAGGCGTTGACTGCAAACAGGAGTACGTCCCTTTCCTCCGCTTGGCGACGGTGTACAATGGCTTAAACGCCGGTACGCAGCACGTTGTCATGAACACAAAGCACCGGCGGACGAGCAGCGAAGAGATGAAGAAGTGGCTCGACATGATCGACTATGTGGCGCAACACAAACCCGGAATCCGCCTGCGAGGTCTGCATTTGAGCCAGTTCAATTTCACACTGGAGATAAAGTGGGGTATCCGATCCGTTAATGCTGGGGATGACGGGCTTCAGTGTGTCCGGCATCCATCGGATTCGGCAGGAGTAAGAGATCGTGCTCGTCAGCAGTTTTATTGCCTGGAGTTTCATCGCCTGGAGTTTTATTGCCTGGAGTTTTATTGTCAGCAGTTTCATCGCCGCTTGCCATGCGATGCAATCCTCCTGTCCAACTGCAGCATTGATTTATACTGCAGCTCTCCTTTCGGATCGGATAACCTGCAAGGACCGGCGTATTTTCCGGATCGAGAAACGCCAACACTGCGGCTGCCGGGTGGTGGTGATTTCGGCTACGCGCTATGGGATGCGTTGGAGGCGGCGCTGCCGGTTCCGCAGAGTCAGGAGCTGCAGAGTCTTTCTGCTTGGGAAGGGTTCGACGGGAATCCGCCGAAAAATAAGCATCTGCCGTAGAGTCACGGTGCGAAATATCCGAAAGGTCAAAATGCTCAATTTGAGCGGCATCACGAAACTCGCAGTCAAACTGTACGATGGCTTCGTCATCGTATATGCAGCGTTTGCGAGCCAAAAAAACCTGGTATTCCAGGAATTCGATCAATGCAGGTGAGGCGTTGGTCTTCCTTGCCAGGTCCAGGGCAGCCATAATGTTGCCGGCAAAAAGTTCGTCGCACGAAATTTCGTGCGGCTTAACGTCTTTGGCGGCCTTGTGAGCTGCCTTCACGAACGATAGCGTATGGGGTCTCGGCAGAGTTCTGGCTTCCGGGGAGTTGTAGGAACCGTTGTTGGAACTCCGGACAGGACTAACGGAACGTTCATCGTCCGAAGCTGATGGACGGGGATCTTCCGCGCTGGTTGTTAAACGGCATGGGCGGGAGGGAACGTTGCCGCTGGGGATAGCCACGATGGGAGGGTTGAGAGCGTGATGCGTAATAAACACTTCCAGCTGGTTGCGGTCGCGGGCATTGGTGATGAAGTGCAAGTTGTCGGGGAATTTCTTCACCTTTGCCAACAAAGTAACATCGTCCATGGAGGTGTATCCGTTGTCACAAAGCTGGGAAACAGACGCAGCGGAAATTCCGATGGTGGTAGCCAGGTCAGATGGAGAGTCACCTTTACCTGCCACAGCATCGTTTTCCAAATCCGAAGATTCATCCGGGTGAAACAAATCGTACAAACGTTTAACGAGAGCGGGTTTCGTTTCGTCGAACGCCTGCTCGCCTTCAACTTCGATGATAAGCCGTTTAACCTCTGAGAGGTTCAAACGGCCCAACTTCTTCTGATTGAACGCGCGAGCTTCTTCGAGAGTAACGGACATGATCGATATGTAAAGGTCACACAACCGCAAAAGTACAAGGAAAACGACCGTGACACATAAACTAAAATCTAGGTCTGGCAAAAATTTTTACTCAGCAAGTGACACAAGTTAGTGGTGAACATTTCCCAATTTATACCATTTCACATACACATAACTATAATAGAGAGACCACTAAAATGGGGGCGTGTCGTGTGTCGTAATACCCGGATTCCTTGTCCCTCTGAATCCATTCCATCTTTCTTCCTGCTGCTTTTCGTTTGCTACTTTCGCCTCTTTATTTGGGTTCGTTCCGGAGACGGGATACATGGGAAAAGATAGGTGGCGGCTTTTTATTCGTTCTTTTTTAGGATAAACTTTTTATGACAATAAATACTCTCATTATAATTTTTCGATTTGATAGTGTCCACAGTGACGCTGGAAGACCCGACCTTTGCAGTACTCTGTAAACACGTACGCAACGGTAAAGCCGGAAAGGAAGAAACCAATTTTTGCCGAGCGTACGGAAGATCGTACGTATAATCGGACGTTTATAAAAGAAAGATCGCACGTATAATCGGACGTTTATAAAAGAAAGATCGTACGTATACTACGTGTACGAGTACTGGTGTCACGACCGTCACGGTACTGATCGGCGGTCGACTAATCCTTTCGATTATTCGGTCTAGCCGACCAAATCCAGGCAGGTTCAATCGTTTCTAATGCCCAGAGAAGAGATTATACGGCACATCCACAGGCGGTGACGTTCTTTCCTTTTTGCTGAATTGCGTTGTTCTTTCAATTTCCCATCGCTGCAGTAATAAGAAGAGAGCCTAGTAAGCTCTGTGGTTCACTGTACACAACCAGAATTGTGGTCTTTTGAAATGAAGATCAGGTCAATTCACCTATTCAGGTGTGTGCTGGCAAATAGCGGACAATTTTTAATGCCACAGGAGAAACAAGTGACACCACTTTTCCTTTGTGCCGCCTACTCACTACTGTACATATTAAACTGCATTCTAAACAGCGTTCTGGCACTTCCTGCAGAAAAAGCGCAACTCTTTTCTTACTGCACACTTTAAACCTGTCGTGCCACACTTGTTTTATTGCATCCACTGGATGAGATTGCGTCGCAGAGTCTGGTTTACGGAAATCGGTGCACACATTGCAGCACTAAATAAATATTAATACAATTATTTTACAGCATCATTTTGGAAAATGTAGTTTTCACAGTCCAGGACGTCGGATCATGCGTTGAGCGGTATTTCCGCAGACATGATTAATGCCGTCGCAAGATGTCTGCGCGCTCGTTGTCTACAGTAGAAGTACACTCCGGTAATTGTGCAAACGACACAGAATACTCCGGCTACTGCTGCGACGGCCCACATCTTCCATTGGGAATCCGCACCAGGACTGCTCCTACTGAGCGAAGCGTCTGGCTTCGTTGTTGCGTTAACTGCTAACTCGTCTGTCGTTGTTGATGCGTTTTGCCAGGTGGTAACTGTCGTCGCTGTTGCGCCTTCTAACGTAGCGAACGTAGGCAGTGTGTTGACTATCATCTCGTCGAACGCGTCGGGTGCATACGTGGTGGTTGTCGTTGCCGTTGGTGTGGCCAGCGGACGAACAGCGATATAATCAATTGCCAGAACCCCGGCCGCGTTACGTTGCTGCGAAGACGAGTGGACGTCGAGCTCGAACACCAGCTGCATCTTAACCACCGGAACGAAATTTCTGTCCGTCATGCGATAGATTCGGGAACCGTCTAAATACCAGTCAAGGCTGTTCGGTCCCCAGACGACCTTAAAGATGTGGAATTCGGAATCCGCAGCATGGATTGGTATGCTCGGTGGCCACGTCAACCTCATCAAACGACCAGAACCCATCTGATGAGTAATGCCGATGGTCATTTTATTTGGAAAAATATTCAAATCCGCAACGGAAATCGCTCGTTCCGAGCAGCCTGTCCGGACGCTGTCGAAGGCGCACTGCGCATCGACGAGCCGCAACATGCTAATGACGGCCATCGGGTCACTAGTTGGCAGTTTCGCTCGGATTTCTACCTCCCCATAAGTAAAGCTAAAGTGCGGACCGGTACTAACGTGAACCGTATACTGCTTTGCATGGGTAGCGCTTTCCGGTCTTTTTGGTTCGTTAATATGGAGGAGACCATTGCTAATCCACACGTTGTCCGATGAACTATACACGATCGACCGGTTCAGTGCAGTAACTGCGGTTTTCACATTCCAGTTTCTGTCGATTGTGTTTGCAGAAAAGTCATCGCGAAACATTTCGTCTCCGGCGATATCTGCCAAAAACTGCTAAATTAATATAGTGTAGTAATTTTCATTTTATCTCTTCAGGGAAGTCGAAATGCGATCAGTCACCTGCTTGAAAAACAGATCAATTCTGCTAGTGTTTTTCAGATCACCATTAAGGTAAGGTAAAATACTGCGATATATAGTACACAGTAATTATTAACATACACGAAGATACGTACGATATGTCTAGCGCGCTACGAAGCATATGTATATCACCATTTTAACCATGTATACAGCATTGCGAAAACGTTATCGACATACACTAAAATGTCGGGAATTGCAAATTAGGCTAACTAGGTCGTTATTCTTTCCTTTTCGTTACAAGCTTGGTAGTTTCAGGCGCGCAGCGTCGACAGATAGCGCCCAACAGCCATACTGTACAATAGTCTGCATACCAAGTTTTCGCATTTTTTCTACGCTCGTTGTACTCACCAGGTGTGCGCCTATCGAAACCCCTTCCGCCATCCAGTCCGGAGAAAAAGCAGAAACATCTCAGGGGATATCCGAAGCAGCGTCCCCCTTCTTCCCCTTCTCTTCGGCAATAACTGTCGCAAATAAAATCGACAGTCTCATCGTCATCCTTATCGAAACACAGCAAACGAACCACGTCGTTTATGTACACTCTATCAGCTCCCTGTCTAGTCTCGCCCTGGCCAGAAATAACAGCGTCCGCAGCGAACAAAACCAGCGCAAAATTAATTATGTTGCGCATGGTCTGCCGGTAGTTCAGAGTAAGCAATAATTCAGCTGCATCAGCTTCCTTGGCCTCTCGAACAGACTACCGTCGGGGAGCGCTGAATTAGTTACAATTCCAGCTTTGGTTGGTCGCATGAATGTCATCACAAAAACACATGTTTATTGAATTTGTATGCAATGACTGTTTACTAGTAAAATACGTACACAAGAATGTGTGAAGAAGTACGATGGTTATCAAAAGTGCTGTGAAGTTAGAGTGCTGAACTACATTGCAATGGGCCAATTTGTGCAAACTGCGACGCTTGATAGTAGTACAATCTTTGAACTCTTTTGCCACTTTGAGGAATTCAACCGAGAACAGCAGCTGATAACGATCATTATAGGAAATGGAACCATCTAAACTAAGATTACAACCGCGGTGGTGACACAGTTCAAGGTTTGCAAACCGTAAACATACACATATCAGCCATGTTTTTAAATTACGCAGGATGGATACTAAAAAAGCTAAAATACAAAAGCGATAATGAAGCTGTCGGTCAAAAATAGGTTTCAGCAAAGCGTCTTTAAGCAAAGTTGTCGAAAAGCGATTTGTCGCTCACTATCCTGTATGTCAGCCGGTCTGTTTGCTCCTCTCTGTCCGCTGCCGCAAACGTCTTCTTTCTGTAAAACAGGCAGTCGCTACAATTTCTGGCATTTATAGAGATAATAATTATCATAATATACAGAAAAATTAATAATATACAGCTGGTTGGTTAATATCTGTAGACACAAGCATAGCCTTCTCGTTTCTTCTGGTTCAATGCAATTGCCTCATGCTCGGCTGCTTTGGCATTTCAGTCCGCCTGTTCGAGTTGTTAAAGTACGTAGTCACCGGCTAGAGTGGCTGATAATTCAGTCAAGTGTTAGATTTGTTTGATCCACACATTGCAGCTGTACGAAATGGTGGTTCTGGCGAAATATATAACATCCTGTCACCTGTATATGTGAACGAATCTTATCCCAGTTGACAAGAGACGAAACCCTGTGGCGTATGAAGCCGCCGTCTTCGGTAGAATGCCGCTTTTGAGTCCCTGCATTTCCAAAGAAGTAAATATTAATAATTATTATCTGAAATTGTCGTATATGTAGCGGCGGTGTATTAATACATTCTGCTCGCTACGGAGCCAACCGAACAACTGCCGAAATGTTTAACGAGCTGTTGTTTTTGTAACTGTTTCTCTAACACGTGTTTAAGTGATGGTTTGAAATATAATTTGATAGGGGTATAACAACTGCTAATTACAACAGTCATAGTACTAGTATAACAAATTGCTATGGCTATTGCTATGTACGCGTCAGCAGGACATGTCACGCGATACTCCTGCTGTCCTACACCATCTGTGCGAGTACGTACATGCAGTAGATTTTCGAGGAATTTTTAAATTACATTTTCACTAGCGTGTAGGGGAGGGGCCGGTGTCTGGATATGATTCTCCCGCTTCCAGCATTTTACATGCATAGAACAGTCTGTGCAGTGTGCACTGTACATCAGTCGCCGTGAGCGATCGAAAAGGTCACTGGCAAAGCAGCGATTCCAGGACGTATACGTATAGTTTCTTATTGCCGGTCACATGATTATACCCAGATGAGGGTCGCCGTAGTGACTTTCTCCGATCATAAACCCTAGCAACACTTTCTTGTGAGCGCGAGCGAATTTTCACGGTATATGTCCCCGGTATTAATTGTGTGCTTGATTTATGTATCCGATGCTTATACAGTAAGGGTACTCAAACATCTTTTACGAGCGGCTCTATAACTTAAAGGGGTCAGATCCTTTAACGTTTAGCTCCGCCTCTGCATTGCCATTGTACGAAAGGCTGTGTAATTTTCCTCTCTTTAACTTAAAGTCCTTCAACTTAAAGTACCTAAATCGTTACTTTACGGTATAGGGCCCGTTGAGTTGGAAATCGCTAGTGCAAACTGAAACGGATCCTGCATCTAACGTGCAGATATCTTTTGCGGACTACTGAAATTTGTTTTCAATGGTTTTAGACTTTCTGTCCTCCTGTGAAGTGGAATGCGTAAACACCCAGTCAAACCTATTTTATCATTAACCGATTTAGAGAAATATGATTGGCTAGTGAGAGTTAAAGATAAATCGCATCTATAACTTATAGAGCCATTCGTAAAGGATGTTTGTGTACCCTTAGTGTAACTACTGCGCACTTGTACAAAAGCGTTCACGATTCACGTACACGCCGTGCAATTAGTGTAGGGTACATTGCGAATCGGCTAAACATTTTGTCCGGCTATACAGTACCGTATCGCTCACAGCGTACAAATTTTCATCAAATGCAGGCAATAACTTTGTTCACATCATCACATGTACCATGGCCCACTTTACATGCACTTGGCTCTACATACTCATACATTGTTCGTCGTCTGTCCGTTGTCACTAGCTTGCTTGCGTTAGTATATAGTTACACTTACAGCGATTGGTTCATAACGTTAGGATGATCTATGATATGTCCAAGCATCATAGAACAAAGTCATACTGACTGATCTTTTTGTACCGTATGATCTCTATATCTCCCAAATATAATATATACAGTACATCGTTCCATCGATCTGTATTGGTTAGTGTATTTATTTCGAGATCCTTACACAGGATCTCACACTAAACGGTCTGTTATTCAAAAACTTACTAAATGTAAATTTATTATTATAATTTTTCATAGGTATAACCAGACAATACTGCAGAAAATTGTTGTTGAAGTATTTTGTATTCGTAGTGTAATCATTTATCACGGAGGCCGCAAATTCCAGCTGGACCGTACCAACTGGCAACCGTGCACGCCTACGGTTATCATTTCTTAGGTGAGGAATTGGGAACTACGAACCGGATCTCTTGCAGTCCCGAAGTGGATTGCGAGATGCAGGGTGCAAAGTTTGTACCCTGCATCGTCTGAGCCACTTCGGTACTACAGTAGTGCCGAGGTGGATTACCATGTGTAGCGTCGCACTCGCCGCTACTACCCTGCGACAAAAGCTTCGACGACAAAAATAACAGCAATAACACATTCTGTGGAGTTTGCCCACTTCATGAAAGCGACGTACGAAAGACCAGATTGTGACGTAGCTGCGCCCAAGCTGTGCGCAATAGTTTTCTCGTACGTGTTTGCTGTTTACGCATAATACAACTATCTTTCTGTTTTTCCTTATGCAGTATTCTGCTGAAAACTGCAGTTTTTTGGAAACTTTCGATAATGTCCAGCGTTTTGGTGAGTGTAAGTTTATTAAGACGTTGTATTATTGCATTCGTACGGTCCTATCGAGGTATAAGAAATACCGTTGTCAGGCGAGCGATTCTGCCGGCTACACGCCTGTCGGGGGAAAAAACTGTGGGCCTCATACAAAGTCGTCAGTTAAATCCAAGAGCGCCATTTGTCATTTCTTTACGGATTGCTCATAAACAGGAGAGTGTGAGAAACTCTTGGAGAACATGTAATAGGTGGCTTCAAATCAAAAAGAAACTCGGTAATGTAATGAACAAAATAAAGCAGGCTAGAAGAGGAATGAAGTAAGTCTGATGAAAATGCACAGCAATAGCGAATGAATTAACTGCGATAGCAATACTATCGGTCAAAACCCAGTTCATTGTTTACCACGGCCTGACAGAACCTGAGCATGGTCAAAATGGGATGAATGCGGAGCAGAGTGGTGCAAAATCACCACCGACTTAGTAGCCGAATCAGGCGCCACTGGGTGATGCGCGACAACTTCTCCACCAGTACATCCTGCAGTCCATCCACGGACTATTTATTCACGCGGTAGTGCGACGAGGGACGGGGATTTTCTGACTGCACCGCACATACTGTCTACGCGTCGTAGGCGAAAACAAGCTAGAGCTAAATGGGTTTCTGTCGTGTTCGTTCGTAATTGTAAGATTTTAATTTCTTCGCAGTAGCGCTACCGAACATAAGCATGTGATCTGCACTCGTACAAGGTCAGTCAAAATCGCGTGAATACGTAGCTGTAAAGTAGGTACTAGGAGAATATCACAGCTTCAATGTGCAGCACCGAAAACGTCCGCAACGCGTTACCGACAGGAGCCTACGGCACTCAGCCAGCTGCAGCCTGGTGGATCCATCCCAAGGTAGGCAAATGCGCTTAAACGGACGATATCAATGCAGAGCGCTCCGGCGTCACGACTCATCCAATGGGCAACCGCCCCTACATTCCAGGCGCACGCCTTGCCGAATTCGACGCAGTTGATTTCCCCCGGGAGCCAGATCCAGGGACTTGATAACGTCTCCGGCACCACAACCTTCCCCGGAACGCTGTAACGTTGCTGGGCATAGAATCGCTCCTGATCGGGTCGGTGGACGTGGAAAAAAACGGTGCCATAAGGCGCCAATTCACGTCGCCGATGGGGAGAGAGCAGACGGACGAAGTAGCCATCTTCGACCATGTCCACAACGCGGCCAAAGCGCATCTGCTGATCGCTACCCTGAACGTAGAAAAGCATCATCGCAGCACATTCCGCCGGGCATTGTTGTAGACTTAAGGCTCAAAGAAGACAGCTGATTTTTGCTGTCCAAGAAACGCACAATATAGTAAAGCGTAGTGGACAATGTTCGCTTGAGCTTGTAATATGGAGCACAAAAGACTGAAACACAAATTATAGCAGAAACGGATGCTAACAGTAGTAACAAAATCGAAATTATGACGCTATAGTCGACTATCGAACTAAACTTATTTGCGTACAGAAACCGTGCGCACATAAACTGGGCGTAACCCGTACGTCTTCATGCGATGTATTGGTTCTTTTATTAATCCGCGAATTCATTAGAGTAGGTGCCGGAGTTATACGAGTTGTTAACGGCACATTGTACGAAGGATTTCTGAGGAAATTTTCAATATATGTAAATGATCTGTTGCTTGGTTCGTGACACACCGACAACTGGCCGCGAGCGGCAGTTCTTTGGTGCCATCTCCAGTTGCTACGATCCCTTTCCTAGTTTCCTGCCGAGCTCCGTTAACCTGGACCTTCGCCTTATTTTTACAGCAGTCATGCGAGGGGAGCTTATTGTGGAAGAGGTGCAATTTCGATAATTACGGTATTTAAAAATTTACTTCGACTGCTGACTGTGCTGAGCGAGCTATAACGATTCAATAAGAATGCGTCGGGTGGGCGGGAAAACGGGAGTTTCAGTTGGCGCACAAGATAAGCAAAAGATTTTCCATGTGGGACACTGTGGTTCATTTCTCAGTGCGCCAGGA